CCGTGCACGCCACACAGATCTGTACGTGCCGGCTCTTAGCTGTGTGAATTAGGCCTAACTGAGTGTGACTGAAAGTGAAAAACAATCTTACTCGTAAAAAATTTACCAATCAGCTCCCAAGGTGTTAGTGTTGACATAACCAGAAGTTGTACAAAATAAAGTCTCTTTAATTCTTTTTCACATATACTCATGATCACACTGTGCCAAAAATGTGCGGCCTTTGAGGTGCTGAAATCAAAACTCCCACGTGCAATAATGTCTAAAGCTGGCATTGTCATGCATTGTGATACGTTGTGTTGCAGTTATATGTACGCCTGTATCATTTTATCACAACACACACACCAACACAGTGCACAAATGATTTTTAACATAAGTCACTTATTTACAGTTTTGAGTTCCTTCATTATTGTTACCATTTCGCAAAAAGGTGCAATGTAGAATTTACAAATACTTCTTATTTATGAACTCAATACAGTTTTATTTTTTAGAGTTAGTCAGTAAATTATTTTTTGGTGCACTGATACTGCTTTTAGTGTGCTTCTACAGTATCAATTAAATTGTGTATTTTTGTATTTTTATCGGTTTAATATTGATTTGATAAACATTTGCACCATATTTGTATTCTACCGGGCCTGTGCTTTCAGATATATGGTTTGGGGGGTAGTTTACAAACTCTAGCAATACAACAAAAGAAAATCAAAACAATGGGAAAAATTGCAAAAATGGTGTGGCCAGTTGAGGTTAAAAGCGTTCGGAAGGGCTTGGCAGTCAAAGGGTTAAAGGAAAACTATGGGGTACACTCATAATGGCATTTTTAAATTCCTAATAATACAAGAGTACATTTTGCAATGTACTCATGTAATCAAAAATCCACCATAAGCTCAGGATTCGCTATAACATAGTGTGAGCGGGGCTAACCTCCGTGCTGTGAAGTGATCCCAACAATATTGTCGGGATCCTACCCTCCCATTGACTGACAACTGCTTGTAGACGGAGGGGAGATGGGGACAGAACTGCAAGAAGCGAGGATGAAGGCGGGGACAGAGGTGCAAGGACGGAGCTGTGGCAAAGGAAAACCTGCACAAGCGAAGCAGCTCCATTCCCACAGCTCGGTCCTTCAGCTCTGTCTCCGCCTCCATCCTTGCCTCTGTCCTCTGTCCCCACCTCTCATCCACACTGCTGTCTCTGGCTTTGTAGCAATTACTGATTCAGTGCGGGAAACAAACTTAAGCGTGTCTCACCTCACTGTGTCGCTGCCACTATTTTTTAAGTGTGGCGTCACGTTGCCTTGGAAACAGACCCATGTGACAGTGTGCAGGTGTTTCCTATTTGGAAAGCACGGCCACACCGAAGATTGTGAGCTTGAAAAAAAGAAGAGGGCAGGTTACAACCCTTGTTGCCACCCCCTGTGCAGATTCAAACTGGGGGTAGGGCTGTTGGCGACTCTTAACTGGCTTCTGAAATAAGTACAGTATATCTCTTATGTGCAGTCGTTTTGGAAGCAAAGAATACTATTAGCAGGATAAAGGTAAAAAGTACATTTAATATGCTGTATGTCATAATCCTCCTTTAACCCATTTTTTGGACGGACGGTGTTTGATCTAGTTTGCCAGTGATAATAATGAGATCTACTAGCACAGTACAGACAGGGTCAATTATTGTAAACCTTACCACCCACACCCTGGAATTCCAGAGACAAATTCAGCACCCAGAAAAAAGCATTTTCTTTCAAAATAGAACATGTATTGTGCAAGCAACAATGTATTACTTTCAAGTTATGCTATGTGAATAAGAAACATATAATAAATATAAAATAGGCAGTGTCCCAATTTGGCTTCAAAAGTGGAAATACACTTTAAATTAGTATTAAACTCCAAATCCAGATCAAACAAATATACACTGCCCAGCAAAGCATTGCTTTACATTTTTCCCAAACACTTACAATCGTCATGTTTCTGAACAGCTGCTTCCAAGTCTCTAAACGCAGCTTCCCTGAACTTCCTGTCCAGCACAAGATCACTAGGGACAGAGCAGACTCCAGCAACTGTTCATCTACTAGCTTGGAGGAGGGAGGGGAGTTGGGCAGGGGGAGGGAAGTAGCTTGCTGGATCTGTTGGCCCCACCCACATGCGCACGCCACACGGCAATGCCTGTTAACATACAAGCGATCTGCCATCTATAGAGCCGGCGGATCGCTTGTATAACGTGCCGATCATGCGCCCCCCCATCCGCAGCCCCCTCTCCCGCTGGCCTGAGCTCCCCTGTGCCCGGTGTAAGCCTGGGACCAGCATGGTGGCTCTGTAACAGGGGATCAGGGGGAGATTGGTACACAATCTCCCTCCGGCCCCCTCTCCGGTATCAGATCGTATATTACATCACTTCCGCATTCTTGTGTCACTCTCCAGCTTCAGAAGCTGGGGATAAGCTGATGAAGCAGTTCTCTGCTTCATTAGCTTCTTTGGGGGTCCCTGGGTGACATTAGGGGTCTTGGAGACCCCTGATGTCTCCATAAAGAGGACCTGTCACATATTTTTTATTTAATTTATTACATCTTTATTACATTTTCCATAATATATTATAACAAGTAACATTCATATAAGGACATCAAATTTTCTTTATACATACATATACAAGTAAATACAGATATCTACCGTATATACTCGAGTATAAGCCGAGATTTTCAGCCCATTTTTTTTTGCTGAAAAGTGCCCCCCCTCGGCTTATACTCGAGTCAGCGTCATACTCGAGTCAGTTTCTTCTTACTTACCTCTCCGAGCGTCGTGTCACTGCTGCTCCGGTGGGCGGCGCTCCGAGCGGGGTCATCTGGCAGTCTCCGGGTCCTAATTTAGGTGGCCGGAGACTGCCGGATGACCCCGCTCGGAGCGACTTTCTCTTTTCCTTCCTTACTCTACTTTCCCTGTATCCTCTCCCAAAACGTTGTGGAACTTTTATACATTTGATACAGCTTTCCTTTGATTATATATCAGATAACTTGAGCTTCTTCAACCGCAACCTTTTAGGCCTAGGAGTACATAGGAGAAACTAGCACTGGGAGATAGAGAGAGAGAGAGAGAGAGAGAGAGTGGAAAAAAAAACCTCTCCCTCCTTTCTCCTTCCTATATCAATTATTATCTACATCAGTGGTTCTCAACCCGTGTAACCTCAGGACCCACATTTGTCCTTGGTCATTAAGCGCAGGGGGGGGAGACTGTAAAAAAAAATGTCATTTTTTTTTCCTAATGTCATTTTGCTGCAACGAAATTCGTCCAATAATGAATTTTGTTGCAGCAAAATGACATTAGGGGGGGGGGGAATGATTTTTTTTTTTTTTACAGTCTGCAGAAGATGGAAAAAAAAAAGTGTGCGGTTCCCCCCAATTCATACCAGACTCTTTAGGTCCGAATGTTAGGAGAATGTCAATTCAAAAGCAAAGAAACTTTATCCATTATTCTCCCTGCCCTGGATTAGAACCTGCGACCTTGACAATGGCATATCAGGACTCTAACCACTACACTATTGCATCTAAACTTTTAACCAGAGAATTGTTGTAGAGGGAAAATGTTGTCATTTTTTTTTTCTTCCTAATGTCACTTTGCTGCAACGAAATTCGTCCATATAAGAATTTCGGCCGGACTACAGCTAACGAATTTCGGGAAATCGGGAATTCGGATTCGTTTGCATTCATTTTAGCTGTAATTCGGAATTCGGATGCATCCGAATCTCCGAATTTCCGAAAATTCATCCGAAACGATTTTCGGAACGAAATGTCTACTGTATATCCCATACTTGTTTTATCATATTGATTACAGTAACCCAATAAGGTCTTATCATTGGGCAATACCACCAAATATGAGCAATTGTTACTTATATACAGGTAAATTCTTTTTCCCATTTGCTCAAATATACAGGTGGGGTTCCACTTTCGAGTTTATTAAGTGCTTTATAGAAAATAGAAACACATATTTAGCTATCACATAAAGTGTTTCTTAGCCCTCTATGTGATAACATTAACATAATTTAAAAAAAAACACACAATTAACACACACAAAAATAAAAATAAAAGTCACACGAAAAAGAATAAAAAAAAACCACATCAAGTCCCCACCAAAACATACATGCGTGCATACATGCCTCGGGTGCGCATAAGTGTGAAAATGACGATTGCGCCCATTATGCCGCACATGTGACATATGGCCACGAACGTCACATTGAGAGCAATAATTCTAGGGACATTAATCACTGACAACACTAAACTGATGAGCAGTAAAAGCTTTTAAAGCGTCAGCTACGGTCAATTTTGGGTATTGTAGTTTTTTGCGATTTCGCGGGTGCGTACAATTTTAAGGCTTGAGATGTTTAGTGTCTATTTACCCGACGTGGCCTCGTCTTTTATATTTTACAAACAAAATGGGTAATAATAAATGTTTCCTAACATAATGTAACATTTTTTTCCCCTTAATATAGTAAAACATAAAAAACCCTAGTGGTGAATAAATCCCACCAAAAGAAAGCTCTATCTTTCCCCATAAAATGGTATAAAATGTATTTCAGTACAGCGTTGCATGACGGAATAAATGTCGGTCAAAGTACCGCAGCGCTGAATACTGAAAAATGGCCTGCGCCAGGAAGGGGGTCTAAACACCTGGTCTTCAAGTGGTTAATATCACTTTAACAGTCTAGTCAGGTTTTTTTTATTTTTTTACGCTATCTAAGTCTCCTTGGGGAGATCTCCCAACACTTCCTGTCCCAGAGATGCAACAGCATGCAAGAGAAGATCTTTCTATAGCGAGGGGATACCATCACAAAGTTGATATATCTCAGCTGGATTTTCCATCACTTACTGTACTGGTGAAAATTGGAGGCATTGTGAATCTTCTAGACAGAGGTTCTAACTCTTCTACATTCTAAAGTGACTTTGCCTTCACTTTAACGTTCCAGTCATCACATATTTGATTGCTGTGGTTTATAAAAAAGGAAGGAGGTTTTTGTACGGCTCTGTATCACTGTGTGAGAGGGTTCTGATTATACTGCTGACAGTAATATCTTCCTTCATCATCTTCAGTCACGGCAGTAATTGTTAGAGTGTAATGAGTATAAGGAGATCCAGCACTGCTGCCAGTGAACCGGTCTGGGACTCCTGTATGTCGGGTGGTTGCACTATATATGAGAAGTGTTGGAGACTTTCCTGATTTCTGTTGGTACCAGCCAATAGCATTCCCCGTTCCAGAACTGGATGTACATGTGATGGTGACTGTCTGTCCCGGGGACACAGATATAGAATCCGGAGTCTGAGTCATCACAATCTGTCCACAGGATCCTGAGGATGGGAAGAGACATATTGATTATTGATAAATGTCTGTATATCTTCCTATCAATCCTGATGTGTGTATTTATTGTACAGTGTATAGATGTATGTGCAGAGGGTGATGGAAGGGGCCTCATCTCTCACCCTGAATAGAAATGAAGATGATGGCCAGCAGATAACTGTGAGAAAGCATCTTGATGTTTGTGGAGTGTCAGATACAAAGTAGAAGACGTCTCCTGTACAATGAGATATATAGAGAGAGTGACAGGGGAGATGTTACATCCCACACACTGTATATGCAAATACCGGAAGATGGAAATTCTGTGGTCGGCTGTCACCAGATGCAATTTAACTATAGATAAGACTCACCCAACACCAGGGAGGCAATCGATGCAAACAATATAGTGAACACCTGAAAATACAGTTTCATGTTTAACCACTTGCTGACCAGGTGTTTACACCCCCTTCCTGGCCAGGCCATTTTTCAGTATTTAGCGCTGCAGTACTTTGACTGACATTTTTTCCGTCATACAACGCTGTACTGAAATGAATTTTATACTATTTTCTGGGAACAGATAGAGCTTTCTTTTGGTGGTATTTAATCACCACTGCGGTTTTTATTTATTTTTTACTATATTAAGGACAAATTACTCAAATTTTTGAAATAAAAAAGGTTTGTTTTACATTATGTTATAAAATATTTTTTGGTAAAATGTAAAAGACAGGGTCACATTGGGTAAATAAACAGCAAACATGTTGAGCTTTAAAATTTTGTGCAGCCCGTGAAGTGGCAAAAAACTACCATACCCAAAAATGACCATAGGTGACACTTTAAAAGCTTTTACCGCTCATCAGTTTAGTGTTATAAGTGATTAATGGCCCTAGAATTATTGCTCTCACTCCAACGTTCACGGCGTTATGTAGCATCTGCGGCGTAATGGGTGCAATCGTCATTTTTGCACGTATGCGCACCCGACGCATGTTTGCACGCGTGTATGTATGGGCGGGGACAAAAAAAATATGTGTTTTTTCTATTCTTTTTGATGTGTGTCTTTAATTATTTATTTTTTTGAAACTTTCATTTTTTTCCCACTTAACTTTATTGTTATCACATAGGGGGTTAAGAAACTTTGGCAATGTATATTGGTACTTTGAACCCCCCTAAGAATAAGAACCCCTACACAATATGCATTGACACATAACATAGGGGGGTCTGGCAGCAGTAAAATTACTCATTGCTTGAACCCTGAGCAACAGGTGAGCTGAACCTAAATAGGAAGGGAAAGAGAAGATTGGCTGCAGCACTGTGAATCCTCATAGACTGACAGCCAAGCACCTAGGACAGAGGGGGAAATCTGGCATGGATACCAGAACCATGTGACACTTCAGGCTAGTAGATGAACAGCTGATAGCGAGACTGTGTTGTTCCTTGTGATCTTGTACTAGACAGGAAGTTCAGGGAAGTGAAGCTGAGAGAGTTGGAGTCAGCTGTTCAGAAACATGATGACTGTAAGAGCTCTGGGGAAAATATATTAAAATACTTTGCTGGCTATGTATATTTGTATGATCTGGAATCATTACTGAAAAAGACTGAGAGTTTAGTACTACACTAAGGAAGAAGGTCTTAATGTGCAGTGATGCCCCAGAGATAATGTCAGGTCTCTTTCTTCATGTTTGTTTATTGTTAGGGGATGTACAATAGGGATTATTTGTGCTGTATGTTTGTTATTTATAGTTTATTGGAGCCTTCTGCCTCCGTACAATGAAGGAAGCTAGGTGGCAGCAGCTAGGAGGCAGGCGGCTTGAGCCATGTAGAGTCCTTTGTTGCTCAGAGGTAGGTGGTACTATTGAGTGTGGCCCCTGCCGACATGTAAATAATAGTGTGTAATCAGTGTTCTCTCCTCTGCTGCTAACACACAATTGATGTTTACGTGTCAGCCCTGAATAAATGATTAATTCTTGTGGTGGGGACAGACATTCTGAGCTGTGTGGCTGCCGATGAATAAATTAATAATTCAAGGCTGACATGTAAACATTTTATATAAGAAACAGCATTATGTGTTACTGTGCAGTGTTCTATGAACATGCTGCAGCTATTATATGTAATAGAGGAAGGATGTTTTTGTACGGCTCTGTATCACTGTGGGGAACTGAGCAGCCTGCTGACAGTAATAATCTGCTTCATCATCTTCAGTCACGGCAGTAATTGTCAGAGTATAACGAGTAAAAGATCCATCACTCCTGCCAGTGAACCGGTCTGAAACTCCTGTGTGTCGGGTGACTGCATTATATATGAGAAGTGTTGGAGACTTTCCGAATTTCTGTTGGTACCAGCCTATAGCGTTACCAGTGCTAGTACTGGATGTACATGTGATGGTGACTGTCTGTCCCGGGGACACGGAGATAGAATCCGGAGTCTGAGTCATCACAATCTGTCCACAGGATCCTGAGGATGGGAAGAGACATATTGATTATTGATAAATGTCTGTATATCTTCCTATCAATCCTGATGTGTATTTATTGTACAATGTATAGATGTATGTGCAGATGATGATGGAAGGAGCCTCCTCTCTCACCCTGAATAGAAATGAAGATGACGGCCAGCAGATAACTGTGAGAAAGCATCTTGATGTTTGTGGAGTGTCAGATACAAAGTAGAAGACGTCTCCTGTACAATGAGATATATAGAGAGAGTGACAGGGGAGATGTTACACCCCACACTCTGTGTATGCAAATACCGGGGAGATTGAAATTCTGTGGTCGGCTGTCACCTGCCAGATACATATAGATTCGGTTGAGTGCAGCGAACCATTCATAGAGTGTGTCACAATTTTTATTATAGATTAAAGATTACCAAGAATATGAGCAGTATGGAGGTCCCCCTGAACAATGTGTATTATCTCATTACCACAAGACACAGATTGTTCACTGTGCTGCTCTGCAAAATAATATATATATATATATAGATATATATATTGTGGCAGTGCATGGCAATGCCACTGCGTTATCTCCATTCCTGTGTCCAGAATCTGAGTGGCCAGCGCATGCTGATGGCACAAGTGTGCACAGCCTTTAAATTAAAGTTGTTGGGAAGGGTTCAAGACTCCACCTGGGAGACAGGAAGGCTCCACCCAGGAGTCAGAGTGGAGTCCAGTGCAGCAGGGTGCTGCGGATTGGGAAGAATCCCCCAGTGTGCAGGTTAGCACATGAATGAGGCTGTCTGGAGGAACAGACAGTGGGCTGAGGCCGGAGCAGCGGTGCTGCAAATGCAAAGCCAGGAGTCTGGATGGGCATGTGCTGCCATGAGAGGCTAAAGAACCCCTGCGAGGGTAATTGTTCTGTTGTGTGATCTTTCATTTGATAAAAGTGTTAACGTGTGATACCAGCTGGTTCATAATGAATTATCTGCCTTAACCCAGCACTCCTCAATGCACCTAACCAGTGTGTTAACACATGTGGGTTAAGGAAAGGCATAGTGTTAATAGGCCCTTAATTACTGTAGCCTGATAAAGACCTTGGCAGTGACTGAACACCTTCTAATGTAAAGATATATGTAGATCTTGCATTTTTAAAAATTCCCCCACATTAAAACAAAAAAAAATTGGACACCCAATTTTAAATATTGTAGAACTTTTTAGAATTGCACACCTTACTCATAAACCTGACAGCCATTTAATAGCCTTTTAGTTTTACCCCATTGTGACATTGAGCCCCTTGTCTGCTGTGCACCTTGTTAGGATGTCCCCCCATCTCTATTAGGTGGGGGCTTTGCAGGATCCGTAGGGGGATCTACAGCCTGCAAAGCACACCACAGATCCTGCACAGCCCCCCTGAGATCCGGCAGACTGCAGGGTCTGAGGGGTTCTCTGCAGGATCCGTGGGGGGCTTTGCAGGATCTGTGGGAGGCCTTACAGGATTCGTGGGGGTCTCTGCAGCCTGCAAAGAACACCACAGATCCTGCAAAGCTCCCCTGAGATCCGGAAGACTGCAGGGTCTGTGGGGGTCTCTGCAGGAGACAGCTTGCTGAGACCGGGGGGGAGGCCCGGGATCAGCGGGACAACGCCGGGGGGGACCGATCGGCACCCTATACACGCGATCCGCCGGCTCTACAGCCGCGAGCGAGAGGGTGTGTCTGAGCGGACGTCTAAAGACGCCCGCTCAGATCTAGAGAGATCCCGGCCGGCCGTTGTTCTACTACGGCCAGGCCGGAGGCAGCATTTTTTTTTCAGCACTACAACTCCCATACATGCCTGCTGCAGTGATCTCATTCAGTGTCAACCAATCAAGTCTCTTCTAAGCTTTACCACTAAAAGAAAAACTATCGGCTTAGGCTATGGTGATTAACTCCTTGCAGGGAGAAATGCTCTAGCAATGTGGCAACTGTACAGGGGCTACACACAGAAAGAAAGAAAAGTACAAAAAAGTAACAGTAAAACAAGGAGTGAAAAAAACCCCACTAAAATAAGTAAACTACACTCATACCCCTATAAAAATAAATAAAAAATAATAAAATGTAAAAAGCTATAAATTAACTCTAAAATGATTGTATGGTCACTTAACCACTTCAAGACCAGGTGTTTAGACCCCCTTCCTGGCCAGGCCATTTTTCAGTGTTCAGCGCTGCAGTACTTTGACTGACGTTTATTCCATCATGCAACGCTGTACTGAAATTAATTTTATACCATTTTTTGGGGACAGATAGCGCTTTATTTTGGTGGTATTTAAACACCACTGGGGTTTTTATTTTTTATTATAATTAGGAAAAATTACAGAAAATTTTGGAAAAAAAATGTTTTAGAAAACTACCATACCCAAAATTGGCCATAGGCGACACTTTAAAAGCTTTTACCGCTCATCAGTTTAGAGTTATCAGTGATTGATGGCCCTAGACCAGTGGTGGCGAACCTATGGCACACGTGCAGGGAGGGCACGCAAGGCCCTTTCTGCTGGCATGCGAGCCCAGGTTCAGGCCACAAAACATTAGGCAGCCGACGGGGCGAAATCGGCGGGCGAGCGAGCAGGAGGAGAAGGGGGACGGAGCGGCAGGGGGTGGAGACAGAGGGAGATGGGGGCGGAGATTTGAGAGGACGGGAGGAGCCGGGGGACTGAGCGGCGTGAGATCGAGGCGGAGATGAGAG